CGTCTGGGAGAGAAGCACTGAGATCTCCTGGAGTCCTGCATTGAATCGCATTGAATCGGATTCCCCTGGGCCAATGTAAATATTGTACATAGGTGTGAACGTGTTTTATTATTATTCGGCTGATCTGTTGTTTTAATTATCTTGTATATTACTTTATCTTTTTATTATTTATATATATGTATATATATATATATATTTTTTTTCCCTTTGTTATGTACATATTGTGAGAATGAATACTATAGCCCTAGTACCAATGTCCTTCAGTGTGGCAGACTGTATTAATACTCAATAAAAGTTTAAAGAATTAAACTACATAAAACTTACTTTTAATTCAGTTAGAGTTTGTGCTTTTTGAAACAATATAAAAGGATCTTAAAAGTGGCTAAACGACGAAAGGTTCTGTTATTTATAAAATCGTGGACTATTCATGATTTTTTATTTCACAATAACTTTACTGCAGAAACGACACAAACTATAAAAAATTTCTTGTTTAATAAGCTTTAATTTTAAATCAAGTAAGTTAAGGTTAGTTACCGAAATAAGTTGAGATTCATCCACAATTGTATAAAAAAAAAATTATGTGATTGAATTTTTGGTAACCATAGAGTATATTTGTTTTAATGAAATATATGTACAATAAATTATTACTAAGCATTAATTTATTTTTTCTATGACCTAGGATGTATTGTAATAATCGAATAGTCCATTGTACAGAATACTTTCTATCGAATTTTTAACGTCCGTCTCAAACTTCGTGAATAGTTTCAACTCATCGTAACCTTCAACTATTTTACTAAAGAAAACTCTTGGAATTGGGGCGTTTTCAATCTGGATGGGGACAAACTTTGTTTATTTACTTAGGTACTAAAAACTCGTAAATACACATTTGCTGTCTATTTGGACCTAATATAATTGAACTCAAAACCTCGTTATTTTAAAAATTTGGAGGTATAGGTCACGCCAAATGGCTCAATATTTTCGAAGGCCACCTTTTTTCTCGATGATGTGATTAAACTATCTTATTATCTAAGTAGAAAGCTAATGTGTATTTACGTGTTTTTATAACCTCATTAAATAGACAAAGTGTATCTATCCCCCTCCAAATTGACAACGCCCCAATTCCATGAGATTTCGTAAATAAAATAGTTGTAGGTTACGATGATATGAAACTATTTACGAAGTTTTAGCCGGATGTTATGAAATTGATAAAAATGGTCCTGTACCACGGACTATTTAGTATTGTTTGAAAAAAAGCTTGCAGTGCTTCGAATCTTATACATTTCTGCATCTTAAACATTATTTAGAAGTTGAGAAGTCTTTAAAAATTGTGAATATATACTTAATTAATTGGCAGGATTCCGTATTTCTCGAACAAGCGGTGAGAGTGATAGCGTTCTCACTAAGTATTAGAATAGGTTGGTAATTGTTAAAAAATAATAATAAATAAAAATTAAATATTCACTGCTGTCAGAAAGAGAAGAATATTGAAAAGTATAATAAAATGAATAGTATGAAGTTTCAGGCGGATGTTAATAATTCGATAAAAAGGAGTCTGTACCGCGGATCATAATCATGAAAATACAATTTTTATTTATTCAACAGTGTAAAAATAATTTTTTAGAAATCTATCATCAAAAGAATATTCTATATAACTTGTATCATGTGGTTCGAAAATAAAAATTGGAAGTATTCTTAGCGAAAAGAAAATTAGTCATCTATTCTAAAAACATATAAACTTAGTTTATTACTTATCGCGTCGAGAATAAATTTATGGTGTATGTTTAAATTTAAACTAAATCTAATCCCAACTTGAAAAAAAACTGAAAAGGGTAGTGCTATTGACTAATTACCGATCCGATAAGTGCCTTCCCGATACCCATGCCGCGCTACTTACTCTAAACCGGAAACAGGCGAAGAAGTTGAGGGCGCGGGTGAGCAAGTTATGGTGATGTATCAGAACAGATGGTAAACTACACCAATCCAGTTTGAGCGCTAATCCTATTGGCTAGGATATGTCAATTTGGCTGCTCCTTGATTGGTCGCTCCTAACTCTGTTTACATGGAGCCTAATCCCTATCAGCTCCCTTCCCCTCTCTTCGATATAGATAAGTTAGAAGGTCTCCTATCTAAGACACTGCGCTACTCACTTTATTTTGATCCAATAGGTAGCTATTACAGGGAAAATCAAAAGGTCACAATTCCACCACAAGGCGATTTTTTTTTTATTCAAAATAAATCTGCAAAATAATTTGAAGCCAAAGTAGGAAAAAACATATGAGAGGTAGATTTAATACTAAACTTTGTTAGTAATCTACAGATCTTTTCTATATTCTATCATGGTTGGTCTCGACACTCCACAATAAGATCTGAATGTAATTTATAATTCATAATATACTTTTAATCAAAACATCATTGATTAATTTTAATATTTGTTTGCATTTAGATTGGTCATACTCTTCCCTTCGTGTTAAGTCTTGAAGATTATACAAAGATTAATTCGTTGTGTATACTAAGTAATAATAAGCACCGCTAGTTATATCGTTACATTGTATTTAAAATTATTAACCAATAATTATAATTAGTAGATTCGTATTAACGTTTAGTAACTACCTTTTCTTACGACTTACATATCGCGGCAGCATAACCGTAAAAGTTTAGAAGGAGTATCGTATCCATTTGAAGATTCCTTTATACTGAGACTAAGATCGTTCAAAACAAAAAACATTTTATAAAATTCCAGGTATGCTCTGAACAAGGAAAATGTATATTAAAAAAGTAAATATAATGATCAAAATTACAAACGCATATCAATACAAATGGTTAATGTAAATGCGATGGAAATGAGAGAAAGTGATAAAAAAGAAGGGATTTGAATGTCTTTGAAGCATCATGACGAATGTTAAGTGGGAGCGAATCCCTCAGGATTGAGGGGCGGTTTAGGAAGGATTTATCATACGCTGCGGATCTGAGGAAAGAGGGATATGGGTCGTAGGGTCTGGATCTAGGGATTCAGGGGCATACACAAGATTTGAATTGGGGAAGTTCAAATACAATAGAGGTAGATCGTGCGGAAGTAATCTCGTTGAGGAAGGATTCTAGGAAATATTGTCTAAGGATAGCTACTTCAATACTTCATATCTACTTAGTTACATCAGAAAAACTGGAAGATCCGAGGAAAAATAAGAAGAAAATTCTTCAGCTAAATTAATAAACTAAATAAAAAATTAATATTAGTTGAGCTGTGTTTTTTTTTTTTATCTTCAGATATTAATTGGTACATGTGATGAGTCATCAATGTCACAATAAGAATGAGGGAAGATAATACCCAGCAACAACTCTACATATTCTTTGTTTACTTCCTTAAATCATAAAATGAGATCTCCCATCCAGCTTCATTTAAATAAATAAATGAATAAATAAATAGCCCATCAGCAGTACAAAATTTAAACGTTAGACACCGACAATTTATTGTATACAATTTATTTAATGAGTACGCTAAAATGTATGTAACGAAATTTTGAAACTTGGAATGTTAAAACATTAACATTAGAATCGCTCCATAGGGAAGCATTTGTGTTTAAAATATTTAGAGCCTTAAATATGCGTTCAACGATGATTGCTTAGCTTAAAATGGCATAGTAAAAAAACTATCTGTTATAAAAAAAGAAAAATTAATAGCCTAAGATAAAGGGTTATTATATAGTAAAATTCTATTGGAGGGAAAAAGGAACTTTTACTAGCAATTAAAAGGTCATTTGCGAGTAGTGTTAAATGACTTAAAGCGTGCTCACTAAGGAAGAGGGAAAGCAGTTAGAAGTCATTAAGGAGTAGATAGACTGTCTTAGTCCTTAACGGTTGCATGACCACTCAGATAGGAGCCAATAACCAACCTCTTCTCTCACTAACTACTGCAACCTGGATAACAATCCACCTTCATTTTGTCTGCCATCCACATCTTCCATTTCTAAGCACATTAAGAAGGATAATGAACTATTTGTTATAATTTACAATAATTTTAATTGATTTTTAATAATTCTTTATCATAAATATGTTTTGGAAGATTTTAGCAACGATTGATTTTAAAAACATGGAGGACATTTCATTATAATAACTCCAACTTCGTATTGTAATCTTTTTGAAGTAAAAAATTCTTTAGTCGCGCTTAGGATTTTTACTGTGGCCAGTGAATGAGATTAAACCGCCATATTCTGCTATGTAACGCTCATTCGGGTTAAGTCTTCTAGAGTCGATTAATTTTGGTTGTTGGATTAAAATATCACAAAATCTGATAATCGAACACACATACTGCAAGCAAAGGAAATGTTCAGCATTTCACCATATTATTCAAAATTGTAACTTGACGCGACTCTGAATTAGAGTGGCAAAAAGAGAAAATATAGTGTCAACAAACAAATGAGAAATTTTCAGCATTTCATTATCTTTGTAATGAGCTATAATTCATAATCCTATTAATTGTATTTTGACTTAGCACCGATTCAATGACTATTACTCAAAACAAACTTAAGCAGAGTAATTTCTACACAATTATGATCGTATATATCGTAAATGTTATCACTTTGTGAATACAGAAATATATATATATATATATATATATATATATATATATATATATATATATATATATATATATATATATATATTTCATATTATAAATTCCGCATTGTTGATGTTTTCCCTTCTTTTTTTACGATTTATTTAAACATTGGAGACTTATGTCCCTGGTTAAAAATCCGTTCATAGAGATCAGACGAAATACAGACGCCTTATAATGAGGAGAAGTTGAAACAATGAAGGTCGGGTAAATAGATAATGATAATCGATAAAATAAATATAAAATACTTAAAATTCAAGTAATATTATGTTAATATTAATTATAAAGTAGTCACTAATGATACGGTAATCCATCAGTTAAGCTAAAAATATTAATTAACAAAACTTTTTTATTTTGCAAAATGTTTTCGCTCTATATTACAACATAATCACATACTTCTTCTTTTACTGCTCCCTTTATGCTTCTCAGCGAGGAGATCTTTCCAGCCATCGCAACCAGACCTCCTGGTCTCTCGTGCACTCATTTCTCCTATCGACTCAGTCCCTCTTGATCGTCCTGGTCTGAAAATGTGGTCTTCGAATGACAGACGAGGTCTACCCAAAGGTATATGTTGGTCAAGCCAAATGGATTCTCCATATTCTCCCATTCTGCAGCAATGACCACTTAAGATGTCTTTTTTCGGGTATTTGTCCCAGTCACTGGATTTATGACTCTTCTCTAATTCTGTCGTTTCTTGCGCAATCTCGTCTGGTTCTTCCTGCCACTCTTTGGAACTACCTTTTTTCAGCTGTGGTGATTATAGTATTATGTTTGTCTAGGTCATCCAGCTTTCACTCTCCTACAGCAAAGTTGGAATTCCTTCTGTACTGTCCAGGTCTAGATCCGCCATCGCTCAAATGAAATCCGTTTTTATCCCATTTTTGATGATTTGGGAGGAAAAGAAATTTGGAGTTTCAATTGGATTAAACGTTACAAATGCACCTCACAGCAAACCAAAAATAGAGCCCTGTACCCCTGATGAAATATAGACCTAAATAACATAAAGTAAATAAACCTTCACATTAAAATAATCGAGTAATAGAGATGACAAGACAAATACAACGGCAATAAATGTTATCTGGAGGTTATTCAAACTTAAGGTAAAGGTTATCGTTATTTTAATGGGAGGGTCCTGAAGTTTGCTAATCATGGTAAAAAAAAAGTATATAGCTTGGCTAAAATTATTAAATTAGAAAAATTAAATTAGAAATATAATCATAAAATCCTTTTTCTTAAACTCAGAAGTAGAACAAACGTTTAGTGAAAAAAAAATATTAATATGAGTTTTTATTTTGTTTTTTTATTAACAAGAAAAGTAATAAACAATAGAAATAAGTCAATAATTACGGAAATATAAAACTTATTCCCCTTTTAATTTGCTTACTCATTCTCAACTATACCAAACTCTATTCAATTTTGTAACGATAAACTTATAATAAACAATTAACTATAACGTTTTCATTCCTTTCGTATAAATCTTTGCTCCAGTTTATTATTCACTGTTGTCATATTTCAAAAAGAATATATTACATTTCATTTTCGAAACTAAGAGATCTGGAATTATCACTAGAATTAAAATATATACATACATATATACATATATATATATATATATATATATATATATATATATATATATATATATATATATATATATATATATATATATATTACAATGTTTTTTTTTTATAATTGGACCTTTATATCTTAAGTTATATATATATATATATATATATATATATATATATATATAATATATATATATATATATATATTATATATATATATATATATATAATATATATATATATATTTCATCACCATACTAGCAAGCATTTTAAGATTTTGTTGCGTGCGCTGTTGAAAGTTCAACCAATTCTTGGATTGCTTAGGAAGCCTATCCCAGCAGAATATATCGAATGTCAACGCGCCGTCATTTATAAGGGCTGTCTGACTCCCCAAGACTTTCTACTACAGGGGAACAGTGTCAGCTAAAAGTTGTCAAAACACTAACCTTAGGGAATTCCCATTGGGCCACAAACTCCATCGCTATACCTGCAGATATTTTTTTACATTCAATTATTCACCAAGAACAAAAGTTTCTATTTATAAACTTACCATTGCTAAGGAACCGCCTATGCTAAGTTTCTTTAAATTTACCAACTACCTAAATAATGGAAAGCATAAAATATTATAATGATGTAGAGATGGTTGACCGTGAAATAATATGAAGAGTTGGTCATGAGGAGGGCGAGGGGTTGTGATCAAATAAATACTAAATTTTTAAAAATAGTATTTTAATTGTTACTGTCATTAGCATTTTAATCGATACGTACGGTATTTTGAATTTATATGATCGCGCCTCCCGACCAACTCCTTCTCATAAAATATTAGTCTATAACGTGAAGATTTTATTGCCAGAAGCTAAATATTAAGAATTAAATGAAATGTTTAGTAATGTTTTCATAGGAAACCTTTCTGAGGAATCTTAGTAGGAAACGTCCGTAAATATAAATGTCCCAAATATGTGATTTTAAATTTAGCTTTTGTTAAAGTTTTTGCCAAGGACCTTCCATAGAACAGTTGACAAAAACGCTGGCTCAACATCATATAAGGGGGCAGACTACAAACAAATAGGAGTTCCTTAAGCCTTTAATTCACCAGAAAATCAAGATTTCAAGTCCTGCTGAAACTCATATTTAATTAAAATGAGCTCTTTTATTTGACCGATTAAGTATAATTATAGTACAAATTAGTATTTCCCAGTGAGAACTCTCATGTGGTCAAAGAAACTAACATTTAACATTACAAAATTATGTTTCTACTATAGAGAACTTGGATGGTCCATGATAAAATAAATTATATTTGTTGAAATTGAGGTCGAGTTATTCTCCCTGGAGCTCTATAATGTACAACTCAGTCGGTTCACCAAACTATATGACTGTGAACTCTAAATGTTCTTTATAGTTTTCTCGTTATTGATGGTCTTCAAGTTGTTATTTACACAATTCAATGATATCTAGTGTACTCTCGGTCACATTTTTATGAACCGATCCATTAGATCGAGCGGTTGGGAAACTACAAACAAATAGGAGTTCCATAAACCTTTACCAGAAAATCAAGATTTCAAGTCCTGCTGAAACTCATATTTAATTAAAATGAGCTCTTGTTTGACCGATTAAGTATAATTATAGTATAAATTAGTATTTCCCAGTGAGAACTCTAACGTCAGATAGTTCTATCCCGTATGTATTCCACGTATAATAAACAGGGTTATAACATAATAATATTACCAATACAAAAAAATTTAAAGTAACAATTTACTTATTAAAATTTAAGGTAATAATTAAGTGACTAGCTTGACCCATTGGAAATTATATTTAGAATATAATAGATAATATTAAAAGGTACAGTTCTCTTTGTACTTATACTAATCCATTATTATACTCGTTCAACGCTTATTTTTTTTGGTGCATTAGGGCCTTGGTTTGGAGTTTGAGTCTATTACTTAGACTATATAAGCCATACTTGGATATGTTTTTATTTATTAAATGTATCAAAAAGTTTTTTCTGTTCATCCAAAGTTTTCAATCTACTTTCTCAAAGGATTTTCAGTTCGTCAAAGACTACCATGAAAAGCAATATTAGTCCTCCAGGAGAGAAGAGACAACCCTCTGCAAATTAAGAACTGATACCCCTTCAGCCAGGGCCAGAAAATCGGCCTGATCGCAGGCGAATGTTTGATTGTAAATTACGAAAGTGTGTGTTCTTCTGAATAAAAAGAACCTTGTCTGCTGTTCCAGAGCCACTGCTTTAAAAATGGCGGCTGAATTAAAGAATATTAGGCCAATAATTTGAGGATCGAAACGGGAAATAAATCGTGAAAAATATGAGAAAAGTTATTATTTATTTAAGCTGTATATATGGGTTTAGACATGTAAAAAACAAAATTGCTAACGCGAGCCACCAACGGAAAACTTTTTACTGCCAAAAAAGGCCAAATTATTTCGATATTTTTTGGGGTTTTTACACCTATAACTCCTAAACGATGCAACAAAGTGAAAAATATATTATTTAATAAATTGTAAAAACGTTAAATTTTGCGTCAAACAAGTACATAAACTTTATAATTTGGTTATGCGGTAAGGTATAAAACCACGGTCAATTTTTAACAAATTTGTCAAAAACAGAGACAAATTACTATAAATGGCCCTGTAACCTGGAAATTAGTACACTAACAGGATAAAAAATAATAGAATCAAAGTTGTAGAGCATCAGACTTTGTGTCAACTGAGTACTGACATTTTTATTGTGGGCCAATTATATATCTCGAATCGTGATTCGTCATTCCTTTATAAAATCGGTATCTTTCAACACACGTTTACTAAAATTCTTTGCTGTTGAGAGGCGGATAAGAGGCTTATACTGCATGTAACAGACTCTAAACAAAAATAACTCAGTAGAATAGAAACCCATGCCGTTGAAATTTGGAAAATCACATTTACTTTCATTTCTAATCTCTAACCATCAGGAGATTACCGATTTTGTTCGCAGTAAGTGACCTACATTAAATTAGTTGGTACTAAGTTGACGCAAAATTTGATGCTCTACAACTTTGATTTTATGGAGATTTCCTCTAAGTTAACTCATTTCCAAGTTACAGGGCCATTCATAGCAATTTGTCTCAGTTTTTGACAAATTTCGTAAAAATCAGCTGTTTCAGTTGAAAACTTAGACTAGAAAATTTTCGATCGCAATACTTACCCTTACTATATGTCGCATATAGTAAGTGAAAGATAAATTGCTTTTATCATACAAGAGCATGGATTACATACAACATGTCATTAATAATTCATTTTTTCACTCTGATTTGGATTTCTTTCGATTTGGGTTGCAGCTTCAGATGAACACGGAAAACGGTTTTGTCAAGATATAGCCCAAATAGAGAAGAGGTAGTAGCAATGAGAAGATCCTTATGCTGACTACTGTGGGACACAGCAACGGGAGACAGTTGATGGACACTATAAAAGGAAACAAATATACACATTGACTAGGCATAAAGTAATATTATGTTCAAGATTAAATATTTTATATATTATTATTATTATTCACTGGAAAATGTATAGATAAATGAAGTAAGAAAAAACATGCAATGTCAATTATTTTCAAAAACAATCTTTATTATCTCAAAACTGGTGCTTGATAGAATTTTTTTGACTTCATATTCGAACTTAGCATATACGAAAGTATAAAAATCAAGAAACAATTATGAATGGAATAAAAAAGTGTTGTTGTTTTTTCAGAACTGTGATATTAAGTATGATTGAAAAAAATAAAAGAGAAAATTATAATTGATGGGGAATTATTATTGAAGATGACCGGTTGGCAGACAAAGGTGAACTACACGATGACAAATAGCCCAGAGCAAATTGTTAGCTGCTATTGTAACAGGGAACAGCTCTTAGCCGTTGGGCCAAGGATATGTGTCACCCCTGTCCGCCACCGTATTGAGCCATTCCGCTCTGGCCAGGTCAGCAAGTGGCAGCCAGTTTATTCATCAACAGTAATCCTCCAACAGATGAAATGAGATTCATGAAAGAAAGAAATAAGACAACAGGATATGAACACGGCCAGCAGCTTAGCTCTCTCGCCGGACATTTAGTAATTCTCCATTTATTATTTATATCGGAATTTGCCTATTTCTTTTTTATATATATCGTGAGGTTGGTTGACTCCTCTAGGATATCTGTGGACTCACAAGCAATACACGTTTGTAGGCAACTAGAAACTGCCCGGAAACCGAAAAAAAAAGAAGAAAGAATATATAAATATATATATATGTCTTGCAATCATTCCGTGGATAAGTCGGTTAAAATTTTTATGCAATCCGTCGTACATTTTTTTTTTAATTTATTGTAGATATGTATGCTAGTATGGATAGTTTTTCTTTTATTAAAATTCGAACATACTTTTGTAATTACGTTTATTTATTTTGATTTAAACATACTGGATACTTAAAAATAATGAAATAAATAAAAAGGACAAACACTTTCTCAAGACGAAAATAAATTTCCAGCAATAAACTTATTTTTTTACAAGCTCAGATTAGCGCTAATTGCCAAAACGTCCTACTATATTTGAATTTAAATATGCTTTACGGTGCAGACCATTTTTTATAAAATTATAAACATCCGTCTATGAAACTTCGAGAATTGCTTTATCTTATCGTAACCGACAACATTTTTTTACTCAAAAAAAATCTTGTCAATGGTCACAAAAAATGGGGCGTCTGGAAATCAAGGAACTTTGTCTATTTCAATTGGTAATAAAAACCCATAAACACCGATTCGCTTTCAACGTGAATGGTAAGGTGATTTGATTACAAGATCGAGAAAAAAGGAGGCCTACAAAAATATTGGCCCGTTAAGTGCACACCCAGTATGTCAAAATAACGAGGTTTTATAGACTAAACTGCGCAATATTTTCTTGAGTTAGTGATCAAATTATCTTATCATTCCAGTTAAAATCAAATGGATATTAATGAGATTTTATTAAAATCCAATTAATTTAATGAGAAAAAAAATTCTGAGAATATTTGTAGAAAAAAATGTTGTAGGTTTATGAAGCCATTAACAGTCTTTTAGATGAACGTTAATAATTTGATAAAACGGGGCCTGTACAGCTGACTAATGGAACATAGATGGATATTCAAAAAAATAATATTCTTTTTTTCCACTTACGAATCGACAGCCACACTGCAAAAGACTGTAAGTGCAAAACATAAAATTAATTAAATGACGATATAAACCGTGTATTTTTTATCTTATAAATTGGATTTTCCTGTCAATTTTTATTGTATGCTTAAGACGAAGATGTAATGTTCTAAATAAGATGTTTAGTTTCTTTTTGTCAATATATAAGAGGCCATGATTCACCAACACAGCTCAAAACAGCACATTCTTACTAAATTGTACTTACAGACTTTTTCAGTGTAGCCGTCGAAATGTCATCGTAATTTTTTCATCGTAACATGTCATCGTAACTATCTATTTCTTTTTTTCTTTCTGAGGGCAAAAAAGTGGTTGAAGAGCTTGAACAGTTGCAAATAAAAGATAGTAACA